GGTATTGAAGGATTGTGCGTGGTTTTAAGGCGTTTTGCCTACCCTTGTCGGTTCAGCGATATGATGCACAGATTTGGAAGATCGGTACCTGAGCTAAGTTTAATAGCCTCAGAAGTAACTGATTTCATGTTCGAAAACCACGGTCATCTTTTGCGAACATTTTATCAACAATGGCTGGAACCAGATTGCCTTGTAGAGTTTGCAAATGCTATCCACATTCACGGTGCAGCATTGACAAACTGCTGGGGTTTTGTTGACGGAACTGTCAGACCAATTGCTCGCCCAAATCAGCATCAGCGAACTGTTTACAACGGACATAAACGGGTTCATGCGATAAAATTTCAGTCCGTTGTTGCACCAAATGGGCTTATTGCAAATCTTTACGGACCAGTAGGTAAGTTTAGTGTTTATAATTTATCACTATCTTTGTCGCTTTAGCAAAACTCGAACATTCTCAATTGCAAAATTAAATGTCGATTGTCACCTGCCAAGTAACTGCCAAGTATATTTAAAGTTAAAACTTGAAAAAATCTTTGGAATTCAAAAATAGGTTTTGGGGACAAACCCTGATTCGCTAAATATTATTCTAATTGCAATCCACTAGACAAACAGATGGTTTGTTCACAAATCTATGATATTTATATCTATGATACTATTTTCCACTGGAGCAGCACACTTCCACTTTGGAATATATGTTTTGCCAAATTGTTGTCAAATCAACCTGAAATGATGTCATTGAACATAATTTCTCATGCCAATCAAATTACCTTATGTTATTATGATCTTTTATCTTTATTATGTATTATGTATTATAACCAGATAGTTTTAATTAATTGTTCTGTCAATATAGAGGGAAAAAGACAGACAGACGCAGGCATGCTTAGAATGTCAGGTTTACTGGAGTCTTTGGAAACCCATTGCAACACAGCAGCTGGTGAACCTCTTTGAATTTATGGTGATCCTGCATATCCCCTACGAAGACACCTCCAGTCACCATACAGACAGGGGAATCTTACTGATGATGAAAAAGCATTTAACTGTTCAATGAGCTCAGTTAGAGTTGCAGTCGAATGGGTTTTTGGTGACATCACCACTTATTTTGCTTTCCTAAATTTCAAACCCAATCTTAAGATTGCTTTAAGTCCTGTTGGCAAAATTTATTCTGTATGTGCACTTTTCAGGAATGCTTTTACCTGCCTTCATGGTTCAACAACAAGTACATTTTTTGGACTTACTACACCGACTGTTCAAGAATATTTTAATGCAAATAATGTATAAAGTTAACAATTTTCAGACATACACCCTTTCATAATTTTACATGGCTTTGGCAGCAAATTGTGATCAACCTACAGTTACCAAAATTTTAAAATTACGACAATTTTCTTTATTATACACAGAAGTCTTGTATCGTCAAAAGGCAAATAAACAAAACTGGGGGAAATATAATTTAATTTTCCTTATAATAAGTATCAACATTTCTGTAGTTGACCACCATCTGCTGCCCTCACATGGTTAAACCCACCAATATGAAGCATGATTGGTATGATATTGTTATACTGACTGTATTGGTGAAAAAATCAATTGACCTCAAAAAATTCTAATGCCTTAAAAATGTATTAAGTCAACCCAACATATCCAATTTTGACAGGGGCATATACAAACTTTGGCAAATATACATCATAAATTAGTTTATTCCTTAATTTTATTTCTCAAGGATTTTTTACCAAAGGTTAATTTATTTAATTTTGCAACGTTTTGCCTGGAGAAGGGACATTTAAAATGTCCGAAATGTTGCAAAATTAAATAAATTAACCTTTGGTAAAAATCCTTGAAAAATAAAAATAAGAAATAAATTATGAACCACAAAGGTGAAAGTTTTAGAAACAAGATCATAAATTAGTTTTATTAGAAATTCCATCCTGGAAAAAAACAAGTTAATTAACAACATTCTTGTAATAACATTTTAAATCTAATTATACATATATCTGAACTATGTAATGATTAATGAAGCATATTTAATTATATTGTAAAATTCATGGTATTTACCCATAATGTTTATCTCAGTATATATACCAGTTCCGACATTGCATTCACAATGGCCATGGTCATCGCTTGCTGCTGTACCTGGAACTGTTGTTGCTGTTCCAAAATGCTTTGCTAGTTTGCTGGAAATGCTGCTGGTTGACTGGTTGTTGTTCTCTCAGCTGCATCTCTCGTTCTTTAAACTCCCTCTCAGCTTCTTCCCTGTTTCTGGTTGCCATGACAGATTCCTTTAGTACTTACACCAACTCTCCACTTCTTTTCCGTTTCCCTTCGGGTGTTCCCCCATCTTCTCCTTCCACATTGGTTCGTTTTCTTGTCTCTCCTAGCCTCTCGACCGCTCGCTTCCTCATCTCCACTGCAGTTTCTTTGTCATAATTTTCCTTCTGCCTTTCTTGATCGTTTTCTTCCTCACATTCCTCCTTTCCTTCCATGATATCCAACAATGCCTGGTCTTTTTTCGTGAAGTCAACATCCACACCACTAGCTCTCTTTTCTTGTGCCTCCTTTTTCTTAAAACTTGTCATCATTTTGGTAAATTTCTCTCTCTAAATTTCTGGTAAATGACGCAATTAGCGCGCAATTGACGAATCTCGTAGCGGTAGTCGTACTCGTAGTCAAATCTAAAGCTCCCTAATGCTGGGGGGGGGGGGGGGGGGATATTCGTATATTCGTGTTCTGCGCCCGATGGATTTCTTTTGAAAGTGATTGTTTTTACGGTATGTGTACATGACTCATTTAGTATTATGCCATATTAGGGTATGTATAGTGCTTAGCATATTGGGATATATTTCTTCAGGGCAATAGGGGTACACTATAATTTTTGAGCTTGGAATTCCTCAGAGGTATAAATATGAAAAACATTATGTTTGTGATTGTTACTCTGAGTATATATCCACACAGGGCAAGCTTAAAAAAATATGCCTGGCCATGGTGGGAATCGAACCTACGACCTTTGGAATACTAGCCCAATGTAGGTGAGTACGACAACCTGAGTACATGACACCAGCACAGAAAAAAATATGAGAAACATATATCCTAAATGTATTCAGGGAATTCAGCAACATGCATATTTAGGGTTGTCTGGAATCTATTGATAGCACAATATAAATATTAAACACAAAGGAGAAATTATTCTTCTCTCTTACAAAGCCATAGTCATAGAACTTGCTTTGGAGATTATATCAATATTTGCTAAATGAGTCAATATTGATACCGTCTCAGTCAATACATTATAAACAATATTCATACCTTCTAGTTGTAGCCTGTAGTGAATATTCCAGTTTGTTGTCGTTTTATATATCATAATTTCGACAGTTTGACTTGCTTAAATAACATATTATGACAGTATTTATTGCTTGGAATTATAATCTGTAAATACAAAGCAAGATCACAAAGTTTTAATAACAATATATTGTTGAAACCAAATACAAAAATATACGGCACGGCGGTTAAAAATATACTTGAAATTATATTTTATTGGATTTCAATGGTGTCATTTGTTTTAAAGAGGGCTGAATACGCGCTGAGATATTTACGTTATAAACAATTAAGTCGTAAAATCGCCAAAATGTCATTGTCGATAGTTAACAAGATTTTTAAACTCTTCGACTAATGAACTTTGGGAAGTACACATCCCATGCGATCTCTTAAAATATTACCTACCGATATGCTTTAATTCAAGTCTGTTTTTATAAGTAATAGCATGGCATTCAGGGCGATTAGTGATTAAATGTACCCGAAAGCCGAGAGAGGTTTAGTAACTTTTGTAATATGATAGTTGCCGAGGGAATCGCGCGTGGTGTGTTGCCTGTTTTGAATGCTGTTTTTTTTATTATTATTATTATTATTATTAAAATTTATGGTTTCTCCCAAAAGGGTTTTTCAGAACCCATTTACAAAATTATTTTATAAAAACTACAATTTTAAAATATTTACAGTTTCTACAAAGTTAGGAATAAAAATGA